GGATTTCTTGAGCCCGGGAGTTCAAGGCTGCAGTGAGCTATGATCACACCAGTTCCACTCCAGCTTAAACAACAGAATGAGAACCCATCTCAAAAAGAAAAAAAAAAAAAAGTTTATCTAAAAAAAAAAATACAAAGAAAAAGAAATTGGTGCCTACATTAATTGTTGGCTTAGACTCATCCAAATTCTCTACTCAAAACCTTTTTTCACTGACATTTTTATTGCCCCTTGATTTTTTAAATATATATTTTTTCTTTTTCCTCATGAATATATAGGTTGTTTAGTAGCAACAAAAACTTTGTGCAGCTTGCACAAAGACATAATTGCTATCAGGATAAATTGTAGAAAGTTTGGATGACGCCTTTGACAATATTGACTGTCATTGAAACATTTTTGGAAATGAATTTCTTCTAAAGAATGTTATTACAATTTGTCTATGTTTTGTGTGAATGTGAGAGCAATGTATTCCATTCAAGGAGCACTCAAAGGTGTAACCTTTTCTAAATACTTTATTTAGCAAAAAAATGGAAACTATCATTCTAATCTTTCTTTGGAGAAATTGGCACAAAGAGCATTTTTTAAAGCTTTGAAGTAAAATGTTTTGAAGACTAAATTATGGTGCCTATGAATGCACATTTGCGTGATAAATTGCAAGGAACACAGAGATAAAATATTGATTCAAGTCAGGACAATGATTCCTGTTGGAGGAAAAATGAAGGTAACCGGAATCAGGAAAAAGGGGAGGCTTTGGGATGGCAGGCAAGGCTCAATTTCTTGACCTGGATAATGGTTTTAAGAACATTCACATTAGAAGGATTAACTGAACTATACATTATTGTGTTGTGCCTTATTTTACAGTTAAAAGAGAAAAAAAATAAAATGCTAAATTGTTACTTGGGAAAACAAATGTTCCAATATATAATTCAGGGGAAAAATACCAAAGGTTAAGGCTATCAAGTAAGTTTTGAAAATTGGTCTTCTGAAACTAACATTAATTGAAGGTTTTTTAGGTATAAGGCCTTATGTGAAACTTGCCTGCCCTCCTTTATCTGTATTAATATCAAACTGTATGCATTTTAAAAAGCAAGCACTTTTAGGAAACTAGAAATAATACAATTAAACAAGTCATTCTGGGACTATTATGATAAATATTTCTATAATTGCTGTAGAGCAAAGAAAGAGAATAATTTTATAATGTTTTCTCACATTCAATTTTGAAATAAAAATCCATTCTTATTGACACTCTCCTGATAGATAATGCTGCCTACCAAACTGAACTATAGTTCATGAATTTTTTTTTTTTTTTACTTTTTTCTTTCATTTTCTTTGTTTCAACAGGCTTTTGGTGAACAGGTGGTGTTTGGTTACATGACTGAGTTTTTTAGTGGTGATTTCTGCGATTTTGGTGCACCTATGAACCAAGCAGTGTACACCGTACCCAATGTGTGGTCTTTTATTCTTCACCCACATCTCACCCATTCCCCCAAGTCCCCAAAGTTCATTGCATCATTCTTATGCCTTTGCATCCTCATAGTTTAGCTCCCACTTATGAAGGAGAACATATGATGTTTGGTTTTTCATTCCTGAGTTACTTCACTTAGAATAATGGTCTCCAATTCCATCCAGATTGCTGCAAATACCATTATTTTGTTACTTCTTATGGCTGAGAAGTATTACATGGAATATATATATACCAGATTTTCTTTAACCACTTGTTAATTGTTGGACATTTGGGCTGCTTCCATAGTTTGCAATTGCCAATTGTGCCTCCATAAACATGTGTGCAAGTATCTTTTTCATATAATGACTTATATTCCTCTGGGTAGATACCTAGGAGTGGGATTGCTGGATTGAATGATAGTTCCACTTTTAGTTCTTTAAGGAATCTCCACACTGTTTTCCGTAGTGGTTGTACTAGTTTGCATTCCCACCAACATATAAAAGTGCTCCCTTTTTACCACATCCATGTCAACATCTATTATTTTTTTTATTTTTTTATTATTGGTCATTCTTGCAAAAGTAAGATGATATTGCATTGTGGTTTTGATTCACATTTCCCTGATAATTAGTGATGTTGAATGTTTTTTCATGTTCGTTGGTCATTCGTATATCTTCTTTTGAGAATTGTCTATTCATGTCCTTAGCCCACTTTTTAGTAGGATTGTTTGGTTTTTTCTTGCTAATTTTTTTTTTTAGTTCCTTGTTGATTGTGGATATTGTCCTTTGTTGGATGTATGTTTTAAACACACCAAAAGATATGAAGTTAACATAGCTATGTTTTCATAATTAAAATATAAAAATTTTGTCTAAAATGAAACTGATTTGAAAAATCACGTTAAGACATAAAAAATTCATAAGATGTTCTAAAGGTAAAAACCACCATAGTCCTCATTTATTCTAGAAATATTCACACAGTATCTACCATGAGACAGACTCTTGTTTAAAAGGTGTACAGGAAAGTCGTTGCTCTCAAAAACCTACACCTGAAAGGAATAAAGTAAATACTGCTTAAATTGATTGAAGGCAACAGAGTAAAACAAAATCATAATACTAGAATTAAATACAGGTAAGTAATAACATGGTTTATGAATAGAGAAATATCTTTTCAAGATGAAAGCAATGGAATAGCAAAAGAAAGAATAATTTTTGACAAAGTTTTTAACAAAAATAAAGAGCCATCAGTAGACTGATTATATGTTGGAGTATAAATTAGTATAATTTTCTGTCTGGAAACAATTTGAAAGTATGTATTGAATGTATTCTTTTCAATTTATGTTTTTACCCTTTGAACTAATATTGCCATCTCAAGTCATTTGTCCTAAGAAAATAATCATATCTTTTTAGAAGTGTTTTACCAACACATATAGCACATAAACATGTAACTGGCAGCCTATTATTGAGAAGCTTCTGATCAGAGATTTTATTCAAATTGCTATTTGAAATGTTGCCTTATATTGCTATTAATCTGTCATAAGAAATTCTGGTACATTGATACTTTATGTAGAATAGTTCAATAAATACCATGTAAGAAAACGCCCAAAAAAGAAATAGATTGATATCTCTTAAATTAAAAACCAGTGAGTTTTCTATTTTGTGGAAAATTACCATATTCCTAACTTATTATTACAAAATGTGTGTCAAGCTAGCTAGAGTCAGCTTATCAAGAAAGTCTTCTCAGTACCTTATTCCCAGAGATTCTGATGTGTTTTGTTAAATATATTCTGTTAAAAGTTTCTCAATTGGGATTAATATCACTGTGATATTTTTAATCATAATAATGTAATTAGTTTTCAAGGACTATCCAGTAACATAAATGTATTTGAAGATTATAATGTAGTTTCTGTGTTTTGCATAAAATTCTATTTAGAGAAAGAATTTTACAAATATTTAGAGTCATGTCCATTTCCCCTTTTTAAATCTGGCACCCTGCATTTTAATTTCAATACGTCTCATCAGAACTGTACTTAGCAGATGCTAAATCAGTGTCTACAGAATGAATGAATGAATAAACTCGTGTGGGTGTTTGTGAATCTTTAAGATTTAGTGCTCATTTGTTTCTTAAACAAAGATACTTGTTATTTCTCAGTTAAAGGGTCTTTCACCTGCCTTGTAGGAATTCTTGTAGGAATTCTTATTTGGAAATGGTTTGTTTTGTTCTTTTAGAGAAAAACCTCTCTAAAGAAATTAATTTCACAAAAGATAAAAACATTATTGTGTATTGAAAGTACTTACACAAATTATTTTACATTTTAGTAGAGTAGTAGATATTATTAATGTTCTTAAACATCCAGTTCTTTCCTGCTTCTGTGTGTCAGGAAGCCTATACTGCTTCCTTTCTTGGAGTTAGTCATGGTCATGTAACCAATTCTAGCAAATGATGTAAGGGAATATGAGAGTCACCAGTGGTAAATACTAGTGCCCAACTTTCTAGCCTATTCTTCCCCTGCTGTGCAAAGGAGGTAGCATACTACGTGGAGTGACTATATGGAAAAGAACCCGCAGTCAAATCATGCTGAACATGTACAGTGAACAGAAATAAGTCATGTTGCTTAAACTACTGAAAATTTGGTGGTTTGTCATCACTGTATAACCTAGCCAATGTGTTTCAGTACACCTCTGGTCAGTATCTAATTACAAAATCTTTCTTCATGATCACACATACTTCCACTAACAGTGAAAAAAAGTCAACTCGATAAGTGCTCAGGATATGCTTCCTCTGCTTAATATAGAAGGAAAATGACCCACTGATATGTGTTTAAAAGACAGTGCATCAAATTACTTTCCCATTCTCTTTCCCTTTAGAACGTACTAGTGACAAACACTTTGTAGAAATTCAGGGGGCTTGGAGATGCAAAATCAGTCTTATCAGAAAGAATAAGTTCAGCTGCATAAAACAGAAATAAAAAATAAAATTTGCTAAAACATGATAGTATTTTTTTTTTGTCTTTTGGGTTTCTTTTTTTAATGTAAAGAAGCTAAGCTTGAAACCGAGTCTTAAAATGACAGCACCATAGTGTCTTCAGAAATCCAGGCTCCTACCTTTCTGCTGTCTTCCTCCAATCATGATCCTATTTTCAAGGTCTCTCCATTGATCTAAAAGCTGCTAGTGCTCCAGCCATTACACTGGCATGCAGGTTTTCAGCGGGAGAAACAGGAAAATGACAAAAGAGTATGCTATCCAGCTTTCTTTAAGCAGACTCCATGGTCTTTTCTTATTATTATTTGATTAATACATATTAACTGATTAACAGATTAATCTGTACTTAATACAGACTAAAATCTGTACCATACTTCCTACGAAAATTCTATCCTATGTTGTCTATAATTTTCTGTATTAAATATTCTTTTAACTATTTAAATATCTAAACTTATTCTTTCTTATTCTTCATATACGTATTGATATTACTCTCCTAAGTATACGTTTTCTCTTTTCTTGATAAATTCAAGGAAGTTTTATATCCCAAATTCTTTGGCACCAATTACAACTTGAAACTTTTTCTATGTTATATGAAAGGAGAAAAGATTAGCACTCTCCTTGACAAGGATGAAAGAGGCCTTCAGGCATGACAAGACAGATGGTTAAGGCATTGACATCTATTTTGTGGCATCTAACCATCATTTTTTTCAGACAAAACAGACTTGAAACCAGCAAAGATCAAAAAAGACAAAGGAGGGCATTACATAATGGTAAAGGGTTCAATTCAACAAGACCTAACTATCGTAAATATATATGTGCCCAACACAGAAGTGCCCAGATTCCTAAAGCAAGTTCTTAGAGATTTGCAAAGAGACTTAGACTCCCGCACAATAACCCTGAGAGACTTCAACACTCCACTGACAGTATTCAACAGATCATTGTGGCAGAAAATTAACAAAGATATTTAGGACCTGAACTCAAATGGATCTCACAGACTTCTACGGAGCTCTCAACCCAAAAACAACATAATATAAATTCTTCCCATTACCACATGGCCCATACGCTAAAATTGAACACACAATCAGACATAAAACAATCCTTGGCAAATCGTATCAAGAACAGAAGTCATGCTAAACATACTCTTGAACCACAGAACAATAAAAATATAAATCAAGACTTTAAAAATTGCTTAAAACCATCCCAATAAATGGAAATTATTCTGGGTCTGGCTAGACCCAGAAGAGAAATAACAATCACTGCAACTCGGCTCTCAGGAAGCCACATCCATAGGAAAAGGGAGAGACTACTACATCAAGGGAACATGCTGTGGGACAAAAGAATCTGAACAACAGCCTTCAGGCCTACACCTTCTCTCTGATAGAGCCTACCCAAATGAGAAGGAACCAGAAAATCAACTCTGGTAATATGACAAAACAAGGCTCTTTAACACCCCCAAAAAAATCACACTAGCTCACTGGCAGTGAATCCAAACCAGGAGGAAATAACTGATTTCTCTAAAAAAGAATTCAGGAGGTTAGTTATTAAGCTAATAAGGGAAGCACCAGAGAAAGGAAAAGCCCAGTGCAAGGAAATACAAAAAAATGATACAAAAAACAAAGGGAGAAATATTCAAAGAAATAGATAGCATAAAGAAAAAAAATCATAACTTTAGGAAACATTGGACACACTTACAGAAATGTAAAATGCTCTGGAAAGTCTCAGCAATAGAATTGAACAAGTAGAAGAAAGAAATTCAGAGCTCAAAGATAAGGCCTTTGGAATAACCCAATCCAACAAAGACAAACAAAAAAGAATGAGGAAATATGAAGAAACCCTTCAAGGAGTCTCAGAATATGTTAAATGACGAAACCTAAGAATAATTGGTGTTCCTGAGAAGGAAGAGAAGTCAAAAAGTTTGGAAAACGTATTTGGGAGAATAATCAAGGAAAACTTCCCTTGTCTTCTAGAGACCTAGAAATCCAAATGTAAGAAGCACAAAGAACACCTGGAAAACTCCTCACAAAATGATTATCGCCTAACCACATTGTTATCAGGTATCTAAAGTTAAGATGAAGGAAAGAATCTTAAGAGCAGTGAATCAAAAGCCCCAGGTAACCTATAAAGGAAAACCTATCAGATTAACAGCAGATTTCTCAGCAGAAACCTTACAACCTAGAAGGGATTAGAGCCCTATCTTCAGCCTCCTCAAACAAAACAATTATCAGGTAAGAATTTTGTACCCAGTGAAACTAAGGATTGTACGTGAAGAAAAGATACAGTATTTTTCAGACAAACAAATGATCAGAGAATTCACCATTACCAAGCCACCACTACAAGAACTGCTAAAAGGAGCTCTAAATCTTGAAACAAATCTTAGAAAAAAAAAAAAAAAAAAAAAAAAAAAAAAAAAAAAAAAAAAAAAACCTCTTTAAAGCATAAATCACACAGGACCTATAAAACAAAAATACAAGTTAAAAATAAAAACAAACAAACAAAAAAGGTACACAGGCAACAAATAGCATGATGAATGGAATAGTACCTCACATCTCAATACTAACACTCAATGTAAATGGCCTAAATTCTCCATTTAAAAGACTGAATTCCAGAATGGATAAGAACTCACTAACCAAGTGTCTTCTACCTTCGGGAGACTCACCTAACACTTAAGGGCTGGCATAAAATTAAAGTAAGCAGTGAAAAAAGGCATTTCATGGAAGTGGACACCAAAAGCAAGCAGCAGTAGCTATTATCATATCAGACAAAACAAAATTTAAAGCAGCAATGGTTAAAAGAGACAAAGAGGGACAGTATATAATGGTAAAAGGTCTTGTCCAACAGAAAAATATCACAATGCTAAACATATATGCACCTAACACTGGAGCTCCTGATTTTATAAGATAATTACTAATAGATCTAAGAAATTAGATAGCAACACAATAACAGTGAGGAATTTCAATAATCCACTGATAGCACTAGACAGGTCATTAAGACAGAAAGTCAACAAAGAAAAAATGGATATAAACTATACCCTGGAATAAATGGACTTAACAGATATATATAGAGCATTCCTTCCAACAACTGCAAATATACATTCTATTCAACAGCACGTGGAACTTTATCCAAGACAAACCACATGATGGGCCATGAAATGAGCCTCAATAATTTTAAGAAAACTGAAATTCTATCAAGCAGTCTCTCAGACCACAGTGTAATAAAACTGGAAATAAACTCCAAAAGGAACCTCCAAAACCATGCAAATACATGGAAATTAAATAACCTGCTCCTTAATGATCATTGGGTTAAAAATGAAATAATGATGAAAATTTAAATATTCTTCAAATTGAATGAAAGTAGTGATAAAATTTATCAAAACTTCTGGGATACAGCCAAGGCAGTGCTAAGAGGAAAGTTCATAGCCCTAAATGCCTACATCAAAAAGTATGAAAGAGCACAAACAGACAATCTAAGGTCACACCTCAAGGAACTAGAAAAACAAGAATAAACCAAACCCAACCCCAGCAGAAGAATGGAAGTAACCAGGATCAGAGCAGAACTAAATGAAATTGAAACAAACAAAGAAAATACAAAAGATAAATGAAACGAGAAGCTAGTCTTTGAAAAGATAAGTAAAATTGATAGATCATGAGCAAGAAAAGAATAGAGAAAATCTAAATAAGGTCAATAAGAAATGAAATAGGAGGTGTTACAACTGATATCACAGAAATAAAAAAGGTCATTAAAGGCTACTATGAACACATTTAGGTGCATAAACTAGAAAACCTAGAAGAGATGGATAAATTCTTGGAAAGATACAAACCTTCTAGCTTAAATCAGGAAGAATGAGAAACCCTGAACAGACCAATAACAAGCAGAGAGATTGAAATGATAATTAAAGAATTACCAACTACAACAAAAATGTCCAGAACCAGATGGATTCACAGCTGAACTCTAATTCAAAGAAGAATTGTTACCAATCCTATTGACACTATTCCAGAAGACAGAGAACCCATCACCTGAGCAGTATATACAGCACTCTATTTGTAGTCTTTTATCCCTCACCTCCTTCCCACCCTTTCCCCTGAGTTCCCAAAGTCCACTGTGCCATTCTTATGCCTTTGTATCCTCATAGCTTAGCTCCCACTTATAAGTGAGAACGTAGGATATTTGGTTTTCCATTCCTGAGTTACTTCACATAGAATAGTAGTCTCCAGTCTCATCCAGGTCTCTGTGAATGTGATTAATTCGTTCCTTTTTATGGTTAAGTAGTATTCCATCACATATATATCTCACAGTTTCTTTCTACACTCATTAATTGATGAGCATTTGTGTTGGTTCCACATTATTGCAATTGTGAATTGTCCTGCTACAAACATGCATATACAATTATTATTTTTTTTTTTTGTCTAATTTTGTATCTGGAAACTTTGCTGAATTCTTTTATCAGTTCTAGGAACTTTCTGGAAGAGTCTTTAGGGTTTTCTAGGTTCTGGATATTAGTCCTTTGTCAGATGTATAGATTGTGAAGACTTCTTCCCACTCCGTGGGCTGTCTGTTTACTCTGCTGAGTGTTCTTTTTGCTTTGCAAAAGATCTTTAATTCAATTAGTTTAAGTCCCAGCAGTTTATCTTTGTTTTTATTGCATTTACTTTTGGGTTCTCAGTCATAAAATCTTTGCCTAAGCCAATGTCTAGAAGGGTTTTTCTAATGTTATCTTCTAAAATTTTTATAGTTTCAAGTCTTAGATTTAAGTCTTTAATCCATCTTGAGTTGATTTTTATATAAGGTGAGAGATGAGAATCCAATTTTATTCTCGTACATGTGGCCAGCCAATTATCCCAGCACCACTTGTTGAAAAGGGTGTCCTTTACCCACTTTATTTAAGAAAAATATTCTGCATGCCCCCAGGATTTAAGATATGGCATCTATTTTTTTTAAAAAAAGATAATATGAGAAAAATATATGACACGCAAAACAATAAAGTAACTTTTTTTTCTTTGAGACAGAGTCTTGCTCTGTAGCACAAGCTGAAGTGCAGTGGCATGATCTCGGCTCACTGCAACCTCCACCTCCCAGATCCTGGTTCAAGTAATTCTCTTGCCTCAGCCTCTTGAGTAGCTGGGATTACAGGAATGCACCACCATGCCCGGATAATATTTGTATTTTTAGTAGAGACAGGGTTGCAGGCTAGTCTTGAACTGCTGACATTGTGATCTGCTCACCTCAGCCTCCCAAAGTGCTGGGATTGCAGATATGAGCCACCGTGGCCAGCCACAATAAGGTAAATTTTGAGAGGAGTAGTTATTGGAAAGAGACATAAAAGGTGTTTCTGAAAGATTAAAAAACAGCCTATATCAAAAAGAACCAAATATCACATGTTCTCACTTATAAGTGGGAGCCAAATGATGACACACATGGACACCACAAGAGGAAGAACACACAGTGGGGCCCACTTGAAGGTGGAGGGTGGGAGAAGGGAGAGGAGCAGAAAAAATAATTGAGTGCTCAGTGACAAAATAATCTGTACGGCAAACCCGCATGATGCAAGTACATATATAACAAACCTGCATATCTGCCCCGAACCTAAAATAAAAGCTTTTTTTAATATATACTTTTTCTAACTAAGATGATACTATGCCCTCTTGCTTCTCTTCTTTCTTTCTGATTATCCTTTCTTGAGGTTTTAATTTACTATCTTACCATCCCATGT